AGTAGCTTTAGCAAGGATTACTGCTTTCCTACTTTACACAGTGCCTTTTCAGGTGAGTTCTATAGTGTCACTAATATTGTTTCTATGTCTTTCAGCACATTTATACCCTGCAAAATTAAGTATGTCACAAGCAAAACAAATTGGAAATTTTCTAACTATAGTGCCCGTCAGTGAAAAGCATGATAAAAGAAAGCATGTGAAATAATGAAAAGCTATTTTCTCGGAAACACCTGTCAAAGATTTCTACCTTGAAAAGTATACATACTCATTTTAAATGAGGATAGTGGAATAATACTTTCAGCTTAAATACATGAAAGCATGTAAAAACCTACAATTAAGGCACTTAATAAAACTGAGCAGTCTTATATTTTACTCTTTTTTTTTTTGGTTTTTCTCCAGTACCGGGAACTGAACTCACGACCTTGCGCTTGCCAGGCAGGCGCTTTGCTGCTGAGCTAAATCCCCAGCCCCCGCAGTCTTATATTTTAGATAGCCCACTCCTATCAATTAAAAATCAAAGGTTACACATTCATACCTTTCCAGCTGCTTCTGGTGTTTCTCCTCCCGAGCCTGAGCCTTCATCTGTTGTACTTCAATGGTGTCAGGCTTCCTTCTTCTCATGTATAGTTCATGGTTTCCCATGCATAAGGCCAAAATCCTCTTATTGATTCTCAAACGAGGTGCATAAAAAACAAAATCCTAAACATGAAATATTCTGAATTTAAAATCTTCAAAGATAATGTCTTTCACAACAATCTACTGAATATCAACATTAGGAACAAATTCTGTAATATCACATATAGTTTAGAAATCATTAAATTTTGTAACTCCAATTCAGTATGACACCCTTCCATATAACCAATTTCTCACCCTCCTCATACCTCAACAGTTCTGTAATGACCTTAATATCTTATCTGCTTAATATATTTATGTACTTGTTTTTCTTCACCTAAATTACTGTGAATACCTATTCCCTATACTTTAGAGGTTTATCTTTGCTTTAAAAATGCCACTAATGTCAAAACTGTTCCTTGTTCATAGCTTTTTAACCTAGAAATGCTTTTCAAATTTTTATAATTTCAGTCCACAGAGAAAGAACACTAGAGTAAATCTGACACTAAATAAATTTTAACTATATATTCAAATTTAAAAACCCAAGGCTTCAAGTTATAAAAATGTTAAGTTCATGCCAAGTATGGTGGCATATGCCTGTATTCCCAGAACCCAGGAGGCTGAGGCAGAAAAATAATTTCAAAGTTAAGGGTACCCTGGGCTACATAATTAGTTCAAAGCCAACCTGAACTACACAGATCCTGTCTCAAAACATCCATGAATGAATGAATAAAAAAATTCATAATGCAAAAGTATAAAGAGTTAATTTAGAATAAGGCTACTTCCACTACATTCAAGCCATCTATATATAAGAATTTTAAAAGTGCTTCTTAAAAATGGTGATTGTTCACCTAATAAATACTACACACTTCATAAATGAATCTCAGCTAAAATAAAATGCTTTTGTATCTTGTAAAAACTTTAAGATCTTGTATGTTTCAATAACTGTTATTTTTTATCAAGGGGAAACTATAGAATAGTATCTCAGAAGCAGTTCAATAAATGTCAACACCATTCTTCAAGCAACAGGGTAGGAAAGTAGCATAAATTTAAAGAATTAATACATAAAAGATTAAAAAATTTTACTTACAGGTGCCTTTTTGTCTATTGGCTTTATAACAAATTTTTTGTCATTAAATGAAATATTTCTGATTTCACTCCAGGGAAAGCCAATTTTTGGTGTTAACCTTAAAAAAACAAAGAGTATATCCTTTTAACTAAAAGCAGGAAAACCGTAGACAAAATACGTAACTTTCTGGGACCAGTTTATCTGAATGACTACCCAGAAGAATCCTAGATTTTCAAAATGTATTAATGTACTCATAATATAGGGTTGACATTCAAAAGAAATCTAATAAACAGAAAAAATAATGGCCATTCCAATATTTCATAAATGTGTCATGACCCAGTTATTTTCTTAAAATTACCTACAAAAAATCTTCTGGCAACTGGTACAGAAGTGAACCTCTTGGGGTGACTCAGCACTAGTTCTGCTTAGTTTTCATTCTGTTTGGTCTCAAACTACTATCCCTATCGGTTTAAACTATGTTTAAGAAAGGAGCAAACATTATGCCATTGTAATTTCTCATCTAGACGCTGGACATAAATTACTGAATTATTTTTTCTATTTAATTAAAAAAGGTTTGGACATATGACTATACTAAAGACGCTGTGTTTTCAGTACATCTTAAAAGGATTAATTTATAATATATGAATTATATCTCAATAGAAGTTTTAGGCTGAGCATGGTGGCGCATGCCTGTAATCCTAGCACTTGGGAGGCCAAGGCAGGAGTATCCCTGCAAGTTCAAGGCCTGCTTAGCTATAAAGTGAGTTCAAGGCCAGCCTGAGCTATGTAGTGAAATCCCGTCTCAAAAAGACGAGAAAAAAAAAAAGTTTCCAATATTCACACATATGAATGGCTAGATAAATGGTAGAGCTAGAACTCAAACTCTAAGACTATATTATAGTTGCTCCCTCTTTTACCATGCTACTCACAAAGATACAGGCAATCAGATCATAATAAATAATTGTTTCTGCTTTTTCATATATTTTACTGATTCAGACTATTATTTCACTGTGTATCCGTCAAATGCCTTACCATCATCTCCTAATCCAAGAGTGAAAACTGTGACAGCTACACTAGCCAAAAGACATCTTTCAGTCAGGCTTCTGATAAAGCAAGAACATCTACCTATTTACACTACTTTTAATGCATAAGTAAATAGGTCCTATAGCACACAGCAAATTATTTTTTCTATGCAAAACATTATTTACTCAATGTGGTATTCTGCCTTACAGTGGCCACTGAGATAAATCAAAGTCTGCTTGAAAAGGAGGCTGTGGGAACACAATATTTTTAACATTATCAATACTTTACTACCTTTATATTCTACTTTAAAAAAATTCTAAAACAAGTGTCTGAGATGATCCTGGAAATCAATACAAAAATGTTAAAAAGAAAAAAATTAGTCTTGAAATGACCTTTTTTTACTAAAGAATTCCAAACTTTTCTTCTGAATTCAGCATGCTAACTTGCTCTGTAATATAATGGAGTAAGATTTGTAAAATTCTTTTTTGGAATCATTACATATGGTTTGGAATATATATTTTATTACATATATGTATATGAAAGCTAGAATTCTGGAACCAACGCAGAATAAAGAATATTGCCGTGCCTTAGGAAAAGGCTTTACTTGACTGCTTTTGTGGTCTGGTAATGTAAAAAAAATTATACTTATTTCTAAAAAGGCTGCAAGAATCTGGTACATTTTATATACTTTACATACATAATAGTATTTATTTAGCATATATATGTACATATACAAAAAGTACTGATGGATTTTATTTATATATAAATAAAGTAAAACAAAAAGCCAGTCGAATGCAAAATATAGCTATGCTGTTCACCAAGCTTAACATAGGGATATTCTACTGATGTTCAAAATTATTCAAAACAATTCCAATAAATGTGCAAAAAATGTGTTCCAAAATGCAATAAACACACCTCTATTAACTTCATTTTCTCATTGCTTCTGGTTTCCTATGTACATTAACTTCAATTTCAACCTATTTATTAGGCATAATAAAATGTAAGGAGTAATTCTTAACCTACTGAGGGAATCTTTTTCAAAAATTTTGGCAGTGCTGGGGATCAAACCCAGAGCATCGCACATACTAAGCCAGTGGTCCACTACCAATGAACTATACCCTCAGCTCAGAGGGAAAAGATTTTAACTAATTTACTAAACATAATTCCCAAAAGATAAACTTCAAATTAAAGTATCATCCTACTTGATGAGTACACTGAGAAGCAGAACCCTGAAACTGCAAGGTGCAAATAAGAACATGGAAATACAGTACCTAACAGTCTGTGACGTTAATAAATCTCAATGTGAGGAAAAAAACTATTAAGGGTAATCGAGACAAGAAGTAACTTTTACAAACAACACAATGTGAAAACCATTTAGACCACTGAACACTGACTAGTTCACTACGCAACTAATTTACTTACTTGTCGTCATGCTCATAGATATTCAGGCCCAAAGCGTCAACACCTAGCCACAATTCAGTACCCTTTTTATTTTTTATTTCAAAATAGTTGACACCATACATTTCTAGATCTTGTGCAATCTTCAAGTATTCCATCATTGAATCTTCCCTGTCGAAATAAAGGTAAAGGTAATATACTTAAGTATCTAAACCTTAAAAGTACAGAAATACTTTGGATTAAAATTTAGTGCTTTTACATTTATTCATGTAAGTCAAATGATTCTAGAGTGATAATGTAAGACTAAATATCAGAACCTTAAAAAATAAAAATAGGGGCTGGGGATTTAGCTCAGCGGCACAGCACCTGCCTGGCAAGCCTAAGGTCGTGAGTTCAATTCCCGGTACCAGAAAAAAACCAAAAAATAAAAAAAATTAAATAAATAAAAATACTTTTAACTTGAAAAAATACACATGAAATAGTCAACTAACTACCTTAGCATTCCTCTGTGTTCTTCATGCCAGTTCTGTATTCTTTCTTCCCACTGCTCTTTTGTCAGTTTGTGTTGTTCCAAAACACTAAAAGGGAGAAAAAAATTTGTTAACACCTTTATGATTCAAAATTAATATTGTTAGAAGTCTAGACTCATTTTGTTAATTTGGCTGTGGTGACTGTCATAAGACTCAATACACATGCTAAAACTGCACAGAAGTAAATACATAAACACAATGAGAACATGTGAAATTGATGAAATCTGAGTAAGGTGAGTAGATTGTGTCAATGGCGATACGTTAATTACAACACTGAACTATACTTATGTAAGATACTGCCATCTGGAAGAAAGATACTTGGAATCTATCACTTTCTTTTTTATCGTAGCACCTGAGCCTGGCATGGTGGCCCACACCTCTGATTCCAGGATCTGGGGGACAGGGGCAGAAGGACTGCCACTAGTTTGGGGCCAGCCTGGACTACACAGAGAGTTTGAGGCCACCCTGAACTACATAATCAGACACTGTCTCAAAAACATACACATATATATAAAATAATAGCATTTGAACCTATAATTATCTCAAAGTAAAAAGCTTCTAGACAATTTGAATTACTTTAAATAATATAGCTTTAACTATAGCTGTTGTAAAGATAGCTTACAGGAATTCAAATGTTTCTAATGAATAAATAGAACCCAAGAAATGGCTTTCTCTCTCTCTCTCTCTCTCTCTCTCTCTCTCTGTTTTGTTTTTTAAGATAGGGTCTCATTATGTAGTTGTGGCTGGCCTTGAATTCACTATGTAGTCCAGGCTAACCTTGAACTCAAGGCGATTTTCCTGCCTCAGCCTTCTGAGTGCTATGATTACAGGCCTGCGCTACCACACCTGACGTGGATCTTTCATTTTTAATACAGAAAATCAAAGGACAGAAAACCACAATTCTTGGGTCCAATTACCCCTTAAATTACATACTGGTTTCTTCTGTGTCCTCCCAGTGTTCATTACTCAAATGTAAACAAATACCACCATTCTTATTTTTTACTGTTAGTAATTTAACACAATACCAGGAAAGTCAACATACTTACACATTCTGCTCTACACATTACAGGTTATGATTTTTAATTCTCTTTGGGTCATACAATAATTATTCACTTTCTTTTAGTGATGAATACTTAGATTCTACTTTATCAACAGCAAAAGCAGTGGTATTAAAATACTGTTGTTTTACTTGGTAAAAACTTTGCATAAAACGCAGGAATTTCTTGGCAGTATAAAGGAATCTTAAGGCTGGAATCTTCCCCAGACAAGTTATACACAACTTAAAATGGATTTTTAATGGTGTCTGACCATTACATTTTTATTACACACTCCTGCTTTCTCTATGCATCTACGCTCAAGCTCTTGCTTTTGGAGAGAGGAATTTTCTCCTTGCATTTATGTTTTCTCCTGTTAGTTGTCTCTACACACTCCAGCTGTCTTGCCTCCCACTCATTAAGAAGAATGTGATCAGCCTCAGATGCATCACCTAGGGTAGCCAATTGCTCACCATTATATGGCCAATGGCAGCACTGGAGAAGTATAAACGTGTATTATGTTCCCCTCTTTGAAGGAACAAATCTAGAAATCCACCTTCTCACCCCTACAGTATTCATTTCCTTTTCACAACCAAAGTTCTTTTAAGGACTGTCCACATTCACTAACCATAATTTCTATTTGTCATTTGCTGTCCCCAATCCATGATCCGGTTTTAATAGTCCATTGAGACTCTTCTTACTAATGTCACTACCAATTTCTAATTCTAGCCAATACTTTAGCTTTTCCTTATATTTGATCTCTTTGTACTATATGACAGTGCTGACCATTCTCTCTCCTTAAAACATTCTTTTACCTTGGCTTCCATGATGTAACACTCCTCTAATATTAATTTGAAGTGCCCCATGGAAAAAAGCCAGAAGAAAATTTCTACAGTTTGTCCTTACCAAAAGTCATGCTGAGGATTGGTCCAAAATATAACAGTGCTGATGGGTTGTGGGGCCTTCAAGAACAGTAAAAACCGTTCTGGGTTCTACAACAACGGTCTCAATATACTTTTGCTTATCGGCAGCATGTGTGATACCGAAGTTTAACTACTGAGATTTTAAAATATATTTGACAGTACACTTTCTAGACTACACAACTAATATCAAGTAACATTTGTATCACATTATAAAGTTGTAAGCCAAGTTTGTGAATTGTATTCACAAGCTGGATGCCAGGCAGAACAGAACATTTATCCTAATTTTGCACATTTAGTTATTGAAGCTCAGAAACTTTAGGCTACATATTCAAGGCTTTCTAACTACCAAAGGGAAGAATCAGTGCCCAAAACCTAGTTCCCTTTCTATGGCGTGATATTGTAAGACAACGTGAAGAGGTAGCTCAACACTGCAGACTGGAACACAGCACTAGCCTGGCAGACTGAAAACCATAGTTAGAAAAAAGCCTTTTCAAAAAAGAACAGCCAGGCATGGTGGTGCACACCTACAATCCAAGCACTCGAGAGGCTGAGGCAGGAGGATCACCCTGAGTTCAAGGCCAGCCTGGCCTACATGAGTGCAAGGGAAGCCTAGACTACGTAGTGAGCCCCTGTCTCAAAAAAGGAAAAAACGAACAAACAAGCAAACAAACAAACAAAAAACATAAGAACAGCTGGGTACTGTGGCACAGGTCTATATCCCAGCACACTGGGAGGCGAAGGCAGGAAGATCACAAATTCAACCCCAGCTTGAACAATTTAGCAAGCCAAGCCCCTTTCTCACATAAACAATCATTTATTAAACACCTATCTACCTGTTTCAGAATTCTCACTAAGCAACAACTGACATCCTTCTTTACTGCCCATCCTACAGAAATCAGGAGAGAGAAAAAAAATCAACATTAGGCAATTACAGAGCATATAAATCTACGCAGTGGCTAGGTCATGATTTTTAAAAATATACTTGATCAGAAAATATACTTTCTGATCCACTTTTCTCAGACCTAAGTCTTGGAAAAAAACGTATTTTTAAATTTATGAAGTTCTGGTGTAAAATTTGCAGAGAATATAACCTAAAGGCCTGTTCTACTTACCGCTGGGGTAGTAGTCTATCATTAGCCAGGTAGCCTGGTTTATGAATCTCCTTATTATAATCTCCGTATTTAGCTTGGACAGCATAGGAAGCCAAAAGAACTGCAGTTTCTGGTGGGCAATATATCTCATCGTTTAAGATGGCTTCTTTAACTTGCAAGAAAAAAAGTCTTTGGGTTATCTCTTGAATTAATTCTTCAGAAACATCTTCAGGAAAGAATTTAGCTCTAAACTTGAACTGTAAAGGATTCTCTTTTTTAACATCTTGCTGTGTCACCTGGAACAATAATTGCAAGTATAATTAACAAAAATCTTAAATTCACAATAAATGAATCTAATCACATTTTTTAGAGGAAAGAAGTGAAATGAAAGATTCTAAATTAAAAAAAGATGAGAAAAAAATGGAAACAAAGCTTTTGTAAAGAAGAAGATGGGTTAAAGGGAGGGTAAGGGGCTGGGGATTTAGCTCAGCGGTAAAAAGCGCCTGCCTGGCAAGCGCAAGGTCTTGAGTTCGGTTCCCGGTACCAGAGAAAAACCAAAAAAAAAATAAATAAATAAAGGGAGGGTAAGAGAATGGAAAAAGAATCAAGCTATATCATATACAGGAACAAATTCCCTATAATAAATGTAATCATTACATATAATACCTGAAATGTACCAATAAACTCAACTAATAAAAAAAACTTCTACGTCAATAAGTAGTACTACGTAAGACTGTAAATCTGCAAATACTCATGTTAGGAAAAAAAATTCCATGTTTAGCGATAGTGGAAAGCTTCTCTTAACATTCTTGAGAAGCTTATCCTGTGAATTTTTTTTGTACAAGGGTTAAATCCAGTGCCTTCACAATGAGCTGTATCTCCCGGCCCTTTTTTAAATTTTTATTTTGAGAGAGGGCCCAACTAAGCTGCCCAGAGTGGGTTCAAACTTGAAATCCTCTGAGCCTCCCAGAGAGCTGGGATTACAGTCCTGCCCAACTATTACAGTCCTGCCCGGCTTTATCCTGTAAATGTTTAAATTAGGGTGCAAGCATTTAGTTACACCATTTGTAACACTTGCCTAAAACCAGTGATTTTTATATGCTAAGTTTTCAAGTAGAAAAAAGGAGCATATCTTTTTCTAAAATGAAAACTGATGGCGCTTAAATGATTTAAAATACCTGACACCTTGTAATGATTAACAGATACAGCTATAAAAGGCTCACAATTTGTCAGACCCTTCACTTTACCAGCTCAAATTTATAACTTCAAATATAAGTTAATTTGATGATACAAACCTTTTTATTTAGTTTAAGCCATGTAGAATAACCTTTGCTATCAACATACTGCAGGCCAAAAAACCAGACCTCACGCAAACCAACTGTTTTCACCACCTAGAAAACAAAACAGTTCAAACTCACATTATAACTAGGTAACTAATACTAGACATTATACACCAAAAGAACAAAACTACCTAAGCACAGATATATTCTTTTGCCATAGAAAAGGCTTTTTCCTAAGTTTGACATATTCAATGAACATTAAATTCAGTTTTTTTTTTCCTTTGGAAAGGGTCTCATAATGTTACAGGTTGGCACTGAATTTTTGACCCTTCTGACTCAGTCTCCCAGAGTCCTGGGATTACACATGTACCCTACCACACCTGACTTAAATTTAGATTTTCTATACTCAATTTTGTAGTGTCACTTTAATCTTCTTACTTGAATTTTTGTATCATCTTACTTCCTGTCATAATATCAACAATGAACAACTCAGGTGAATATAAAGTTATAATAATCCTACATGCCTCTTTCAATTTACCCCTACAAATATAGTATTTAGACAAATAGTATCACGTTGGTACTAAGAAAGAGGTCTGGTTCTTGGAACAAGCTATAAATTTCACCCTTCTACTTCTTTGCTCATGCTTCTTTCCCTCTGCCTAGAATGTTTCTTCTGTACTTTTATCACCTGTTCAATACTTTATTCCTCAAGGCTTCTGTGAATAAAGTTCTCCTATCATGCAAATAAAATTAATCACTTGTTCCCTGGTGGTCCCAACATAGTATTGTACTGGTTGAAACATGTATTCTACCCTATCATCATCACCTGTGTTATTACTTATAGTGTATTTATTCTTCTTTAATGAGTAACATTTAGGGATAGAGATACTATTTTATTTGTCTTAATGCTCATCTCTTCTTGTAAAATTGTAAGCCTGTGGTAAGCATTCAAAAGTAGCAGAGTAAATACAATGGTGGAGCTAGGATACATATCCACACTATACCCACACTTAACGGAAGTGTCTGTTAACAAACAAGAAAAACTGTATTTTAAAACATGTGGGGGCCAGGGATACAGCTCAGCGGCATAAGCACTTGCCTGGCAAAACTGAGGTAATGAGTTCAACTCCCGGTACCAAAAAAAAAAAAAAAAAAAAAAAAAAAAAAGACAAATAAAACATGCGGGAAATAAGCCAGGGGAAGTGATCTCATCAATATTTAGAAAGCTTTACATAAAACATTTAATATCAGCTCTTAAAGATAAACATTCTTGGTTTTTTTTAATCCCAAAATATTGCAGGCTTTTGATTTCAAAATAGCAAATTGAACCTCTTGCTCTACTTTCCCTTATCTGAAAAATTTCACTAAAATGATACACACAAAAATGTTAAAAATAGGGAAAACCACTGAACTGCTAAGAAACTCATCAAAAAACAAATTTCACATTAATTATACAAAAGCTCATCAGTATTAAACAATGAAAAATTTGATACAAACAAAAGGCAACCCCAAATACTAACTTTGGCAAAAGACAGGTTTTCCCAGCAGGGTCACAGAGAACAGTTAAGCTCAGAGTGGCAGGAACAGGAAATGTACAGGTCAAGAGCAGTGGACTGAAGTGAATCCAAGCAGCTGGCCTCAGCTTTTGCCTGCATGCTTCCTGAGACTCACAGTGCTGGCTAAGTGAAAGGAGAGTGCAGGTCCTACCTTAACTAACAGCAGCCTGTCATAACAAACACAGGAGGAGCCAGAGAACTCAGCTATGACCTTACCTATTAGCCTTAATCTCCCCACTGGCTTTTTCCCTTCTTCTTCAGGACATACAACCAGCAACTTTTGATCACATACTGTTTTAAGTAAAAAATGCTGGGCACATAACTACTGTACACATATATGTAAATTTACATATAAGACCTACAGTATACACTATAGAGTATACAGTATATACTACTGTGCTAATTAATATACTATAAAGCATGCCTTTTAAAAGAATTTGGAAGAGGAAAGATAAAAATATGCACATCTGTCAGGGAGATAGCTCAGTGGCACAGTGCCTGCCTAGCAGGCGCGAGGTCCTGAGTTCAATTCCGAGTACCAAAAAAATACAAACATTTCAGTATTTCCTGCACCCTAATAGGTTTTCTTGCATATTCTTTAGGCACATGGATACTTTTAATCTCACAAGTAGAAGCTGGATGAAGAGGTTAGTAAAGAAGACTAACAAACGAAGAACAAACCAAAGGACTTTATGCTCTCAACACAAGCACCTCTAACACCTTGCAGCTGGCCTCGATGTAACATTTTCACCAAAAGTAGGACTTTGCTGATGTGGAACCTTGTACCTACACACTCTCTTCAGAGGACTCAGCCTGCTGCTGGCCTTACCTGTCTATTTGCCAGCTAATCTACACACTCACTACAGCAAAGGTAAAAACCTACTTTTACATTCCTCCATTTGAGCCAAGGGAAATTGTCATGAAACAGAACAATGACTACAGAACTACTAAGAAACCATAACAAATAACAATAATCATCTCTAGACCATCATTTACAGTATGAATGCAGCTATGTATAAAGGAGCAAAAGCTATCAAAGCTACTTTACATGGATTCTCATTTAATTTTCAAAACTAACCCTTTAAGAGAGCAATGTCATCATTACCCTAATTGTACAAATCACAAAAATGCGACAAAGAGATTAACGCTCCCAATGTCAAACAGGTACAGCTGAGAATACTAAAGGCAGTCCCACTCCACAGCCGACACATTTTAAACCACTACATGTCACTGTTTGATGTAATACATAAGGTTTCATCTTCCCTGGTATCCAAATGAATATAATTCTATTTTAAAAAGCAAATACTTTACTTCTCAACATCTAATACCAAAAGAGCTCCCTTGATGATTAATTCCAGACTGCCATGTTTCAACAATGTAACACTTTAATGAGTTTTCAGTACAATAAATGCTAATTCAATTTGCATTTTTCTCTCTCACACACACACACATACACACACACACACACACACACGCACGCACGCACCAGGAAGCCTAGAAGAACCAACAGAAAGTGGTTTATTGGTTCACAGACATGGTGCAAACAGCTGCTATGGTTTTACCTTTATAAATTTGCTCATACATACATACATACAAAAACAAAGCTTTTCATCATCCAAAAAATATACTTTTCAAGGTTTTTTGAAAAACTTCTCAAAATTTTGAAATTTTTATTTCATCTGATTTGGATCAGCCAGGCATGGTAGAGTACACCTGTAATCCCAGCAGTGAGAGGCTGAGGCAAGAGGATCATTGTGAGTTCAAAGCCAGCCTGGGCTCCATAGTGGGTTCAAGGCCAGCCTGAACTGCACAGCAAGACACTGTCTCAAACAAACAAGGTATGTATCAGTATGTGACAGAATGGTACCTAATAAAACCAAGATCCCTAATATTTACTGCTGTAATGCTAGACTTTCTTTTTCTTTTTTTTTTTTTTTTAATATTCAGCTACATCTCCAGCCCTTTTTGATTTTACAAGAGTCTGACTAAGTTGCCCAGGCTGGGGTCAAACTTTCAGTGTTCCTGCCTCAGCCTGCCAGGGTGCTGAGATTACAGGCATACACCACTGTAGCACCTGGTTAACTTTCTCATTATCAAGATCAAGGGGCTGGGGATTTAGCTCAGCGGCAAAAGCGCCTGCCTGGCAAGTGCAAGGTCGTGAGTTCGGTTCCCGGTACCGGAGAAAAACCAAAAA